AGGGAGCAGTCTTGGGGCAGGACTTCAACCCATGGGCTCTGTTGCTCCTCCGGGTGGATGGCGATCCTAGGACACGGGCTGTGTCCACACTACTGCTTGCGTGCATTCTTAGGGGAGAGTGCTCACCAGGGCTCACGTCCTTGTGGGTTGGAGGAGTTGTCTGCGCTGACTGCAGCGTGACAGCAAGGAGAACGGGCCCTTGGCTGTCCCCACTAAGCAGAGTTGCGTGAATAACTGCCCAAACAAGAGTCCCTAACTTCCCCTTCTGCCCAGGGACACAAGCTACTCTTTTTCTTTTTGTTTTATTGATACAGGGTCTCACTATGTAGTTCAGGCTAGGCTTGATCTCATTATGTGGTCAAGGCTGGCCTTGAATTTGCAGTGATCCTCCTGCCTCAGCCTCTGGAGTGTTGGGATCACAGGTGTGTGCACCACACCTGGCTCTGACCAAGTATTTTGAGACTGTCTCTTAAGGAGCTGGATACAGCCAGTCCTGAAGCCATAACTGGCTTCAAGCCATTCTTAGAAGACTCTAACTATGGCTGTCCCTTGACCTGTGATGGGATTATATACCAATAAAACCTTTGTAAACTGAAAATATCATAAACCAAAAATTCACTCAATAGACCTAGTCTATCAAATATCATTATCTGCCTTAAACATGCTCAGAACACATGAGCCTAGCATTTGGGCAAATTCATAAAAAACAAAGCCTATTTTATAGCATGGTGTTGAATAACTCATGTGATTTATTAAGGACAGCTCACTGCTGCTGCCCAGAATCTAAAGCAGATCAGAATGTGTATCACTTGGTGGGGAAAAGATCACAAGTCAAAATTCCATCAGACCCAGCTATTCTCATTCTAGGTATCTTCCCGAAAGAGTGAAGACATTGTACTACAGTGATCCATACGTGCCCATGTTCACAGCAGCACAATTCTCAATAGCTAAATCTTAGGAGCAGCCTGCTTGTCCATCAGGAGAGGAATGGATAAAGGAGATGTGGGACTGACACACAATGGAGGACTGCTCTGCCATAAAGAGGGCAGCTTGAGTCACTCATAGGAAAATGGATGTACCTTGAGACCATGACCTTAAGTGAAACAAATCAGAAGCACATAAGCTTAAGTATCACATGGTTCTCTTATATGAGAAACCCAACGTATAAATAATTTAAGGAGTAAAAGAAGAGATAATAAGAAATGGGGAGAGATCCTTTTCAAATGGGAAAGGAACGAAGAGATGGAGGGGGAGGGAGGGGGAGGGGATACGAAAAGAATGGAGATGTGTCATGTGCATGTCGTGTGCCAGCTCCCCGATGCATGTAATCATTATATACTGCAAGCATGCACTAATAAAAATAAAAAACGAAACTTCAGGTCCGATTTCCACTGAATGCATATCACTTTCACACCATCTTTAGGGCTGAAAAGTCACCAACCAACCACCTCGAGGGGAGACCACTTGCAGTTTGCTTTTGCTTTCTAATCCTGTGACTGCAGGAACCCCCAAGTGCCCCCAGCATAACAGAGCTCGAAGAGGAAATGTTAAGGAGGAAGCGGTTTATGGTGCTGGCGAATGTGGGGCGCATTTGGGAGGGGCACAGGTGGCTGCACCCTGGCATGGTGTGGGCACACGCAGTTGCCAGGGGAGGAGTTCTAACAGGTGGCCATGGCCCGGGTGGCACTGGGGATGCCGCGCGCCAGACCTAAGCACAGGGTCCGCTGGCTGGCTGTGCCATGGGACAGTCTTGTCACTCCAATAGGGGCCCACGTAGTGGCGGCCCAGCCTCTGCTGGAGCCAGTTAGGAGGCTGAATTTCAGGGTGCCCTGATCTAGTGAGTCAGTGCTTGGCCAGCCCCCTGGGACTGCGCGCACACCAGATTTGAGAAGCCCCCCTGTGGGCTGTCCACGGGCCACCCGAGAAGTGGACAGCCTTGCCTCCCCTGCCCCCCGGGAACCCCCATGGCTGGCACAGACCACAGCTGTGTGGTCATGCACTGCCCACTCTGGGCTCACTCAGCTTGCCGACCTCTGCTTCCCTTCCAGCAGGCAGCTGTCCCACAGTCAGGCAACCCGGACCTCTGTGCCGCTGTGAGGAAACCCAAGCCAACACAGGGAGAGGTCACCCAGGTCCTGCCACAGCTGCGGGGACCAAGTGAGTGACCCACTGGCCTCACCTGCAGCTGCCGTACCCCACTGCTGAGCCAGAGGTCAGGGAATGACTGGGCCCTGCAGTTTGCAGCCCTGCGTGAGGTTATTTGGTTATGGGGGCAGCACCTGTCTCTCCTCTTCCCTGAAGGGGGTGACCGAGGAGCGTCCAACTGCAGGGACAAGGTGCTGAGCCCTTTCCCCACCTGACACTCTGTGGAATGGACATTCTTGTCCAGGGAGATGGCGGGAGACGACACACAAACACAGTGACTTTGAGAGATGAGGAACCACTTGGGGTGGGGACAGGGACAATAGGGATAAAATCAGGAATGGCTTCTTTTCAGAGACACGCGTGACCCAAGGTCCTCGAGGGGGGACTGTAAAACACGCCCAGGGAAAAGCAGAGCCCGCAGAGGGGAACGGCACACGCAAAGTCACAGTGCAGACGGCCAAGTGCGGAAGGCCGAGGGTGAAGGCAGAGATGAGTGAGGTCACACATCCCTGCAGGGCTTGGTGCCGCGTTAACCTGCTCAGCAGCCCTGGCCCCGTGCGGTGATGTCCTGTAGGTTTAAACTGAGATGCCGTCCCTCCACCCCGCCAGCCACGGGTCCCATGCTCAGCGTGGCTGGTGGCGGCCGCGTGGGACCGAGCAGGTATCACCATCACCATCGCGGCTGGGAGTTCCAGGGCCGGCGAGGGCACAGGGTGGAGCGGAAGTAGATCTGGGGCAGAAGTCCAGGTCGGACTGTATGCCCTTGGGGTTGAGGCTTCTCTAACTTCCTTGAGGTCCCCATTTTCCCTGGGGTTCAAGGAGGTCTTCTAACCCCAGCACAGCGGAAATTACCGCTTGCCTCCGTGAACCTCCACAACCTCACCTGAGCTCCCGTTTGGGGCCCCTGATGTAGAAAGCAACAGGGCGCAGCTAGTGCCCCAACTGACCGAAGCTGAGTTCGATTAACATATTTTCTTTCTGAACACTTAACATCAGAAGCAGAGGCCCAGGCAGGGAACCTCCTGGGCCCACAGGAAACCCAGGGAACAGGATGACATCTAGGTCCCGGGAGGCCCGCAAGTTGATGGCACTTTGTCTTAGGGAAATGTGTCCCCCTCCTTTATCCTGGCACATAGCCTGGGGCTAGGGGGCCAGGGTGGCTGACCCCTAGCCTTGCTCCCATGCTGTCAGCTCAATGTCAATTCACAACGCCCCTTGGAGACCCCACTGCCTGGGTTCAAACCTGGAAGTCCCAGCATCCCCTGGTCGTGACTTTGGAAATGGCCTTTAGAGGTCTTTGGGTCCAGCTCTGGCTGGCAGTGAGTTCCCAGTCATGCCAGCGGGGGTCCGGGTGCTGCGAAGTGGGCCATTCTGTCTCCAGTGTTCTCTACTGTTGGGAATACAGAACCCAAACGTCCTGGGGTAACGTCCCAGAGTGTGGCAGGACTTGGGGTCAGGGGTCTGGCATGCGGTAGGTGCTGTTTGTTCACAGACCCCTCTCACTCTGGTTCCTTTGCAGTTTGTTTCGGTTCAGATCCTCAGTGGCCCCCAAAGTCCCCTGTGTGTGGAAGGCGATTGGACCACGGGCGCTCTGCGCAGGAGGGGACCCGTCCAAGGGTGAGCTCAGACCTGAGTGTGCTGTAGCAGGTGGCCCGGGGGGAGGTCCCTAGGACGTGGCCTGGGGGTGTTCCGGCCCCAGCTCTGCTCTTGTGCCGCTTCTGGACCACTGTGGGGTGAGCAGCTGTCCTCTGCTGGTCCCTGTGCTATTTGTGCCCCGGAGCGGCCACCCAGGACCTCTGAAGCCCTGAGCCACAGCAGACCTCTGCCCCTATGGGCTGCAGTGTCAGGTTCCAGGGACAGGAAGTGGCAAGAGAGCATCTTTTCTTTCAGTGGGACTGACGTGTCCTCAGCTCGCCCTGTAAACCATGGCATCTGGGATGCTCATATGCGCAGCGGTGGCCAGTGACATCAACGGACACCCCGGGTCCTTCTCTGAGTCACCTGGCTCGAGTCCTGAGCCTTCTGAAGTCCCTCGGGGCCCAGAAAGGCTGGGTCCCCCAGTGAGGACGAGAGGGACCTGCTACAGCCTGCAGCTGGCAACAGCCCCTGGACGCAGGGAGCCCAGGAGGAGGCTAGCTCCACCCCCTCCCAGGGTTGGTGCCCACAGGTCTCAGCTGCACCCAGGGCCCAGCTGCGACTGCTCAGCATCCACTTGATGAGAGGCTTTGGTCCCTGTCCCCATCCCATCTCCCTTTCTAGTGTTCTAATCTACCCCGGCACTTCCTGTCACTGCTCCAGAGCTGTCTTACTGTCCTGAAGGAAAGGAAGAGGTTTAATACACCAGAGGGGCATAGGGGATAGATTAAAAACAAATCCAGAGCTGGCACTGTGCTGCACAGCCCTAGTCCCAGTGCTTAGGAGGCTGAGGCAGGAGGATTTCTTGAGCCCAGGAGTTTGAGATGAGCCTGAGCAACATTGTGGGAAGGCAGTCTGCAGGGTGGCCTCTGTGTCAGTCACAGCACGGGAAAGTGGCTCTGCTCCCACTGTTGTACTGTGTGACCCTGGCCAGTGGCTGCTGGGACCTCACCCGGGGCCAGGAGCAATGCTCCAAAGGACTTGCCATTCCAGAGCTGGCCTCTCTGCCCAGCAGCGTCCATCAAGGACACTGTGACCTTTGTCCAGGGAGCCAGAGCAGGTGGCCAGCTGAGGTGCCTGCAGATGGCTATGCAGAGGGAGAGTCCAGGTGCACCTGGCTGGGGAGAATGTGGGCTGTTCCCACACGATCCCCGCCACCAGTCCTGTCATGCTGTCAGCTGGGGCTCCCCCTTGGGGTGGGGACGGATCTGAGAACTCACCAGGTGCATCCGATAAGGCAACAGCAGCAGGCAGCTCACCTGGGCGACTGAGAACCCGGGGGCAGCCTTGGGAAGGTCAGCAAATGTCCTGCGCTCCAAGGCCTGCACAGCTAACATTGTGATGTCACAGCACTGAGGCGGCCCCACAGCAGGGTCAGAGACAGGCAGACAGGACAGCACCACTGGAAGCGCTGAGAGGCATCTGTGGTAGAGACACGTCAGCCTGGGGACAGCAGCAGATAAAACACCCCACCACATCCTCCAGTATGACTCCTGTCCCTGCCTGCTTCACGTCACTTGATTAAACTAGGCTCTTCTTTTTTGTTTGTTTGTTTGTTTGAGACAGAGTCTCACCATGTGGTTGGTTTAGGCTGGCCATGAACTCATTATGTAACCCAAACTGCCCAGGAACTCTCTCTCTCTCTCTCTCTCTCTCTCTTTTTTTTTGGTATGGGGAACTGAACTCAGGACCTTGCACTTGCCAGGCAGGTGCTTGTGCCACTGAGCTACATCCCTGGCCCTGCCCTGGAACTCTCAAAGAGCCTCCTGCCTTAGCCTCCCAGATGCTAAGATTATAGGCATGGGTCACCACACGTGGCTCAAACCAAGCCCATCTTTTGCACTTTCCTTGCACCTGACGGATCTATGTGGGCAGCCCCAACTCTGAATGTTTTCTGTGATTCATTTAAAATTTCACACTGGGTGTGATGGCTCACGCCTGTAATCCCAGCACTTGGGAGGCTGAAGCAGGAGGATCACTGTGAATTTGAGACCAGCCTGAGCTACAAAGCGAGACCCTGTCTCAAAAAGACATAAATAAATAAATAAAATAAAATAAAATAAAATAAAATAAAAATTCAGGCAGCTTTTTTGTGCTATTGTTTTCTCTGCTGGGTTATCCCTACCTTTCCCCTACTGTCTGCCTGGTGTGGCCTCAGGGCAAGCAAAAGAATTTAAATATTAGCTCAGGAAAACAAACAGGCAGCAAATCCATCCCCCTCCAGTTAAACGCAAAGCGGATGTCTCTTAGGTTATCTTTGGTTGTACGTTGGCCTGGGTTACTTTCCATTGTTGGGATTTGGTCATTAGGTGTGGTTTATATTTGATAAGGCTGCAAAGAAAAGAGAAACTTACCCCAGAACTTCCAGCCCCCTTCCCTCTGGTGCTTGGGGTTGGGGTGGGGAACTGTGGGTGCTTAGCTTGGGAGGCCTCTGGCTGATCCTAACTTTTAGTTTCAACAGTGAAGGTCACATATTAGCATGCATTAGAATTATCTGGAGGGGTTGTGAAGCCACATAGCCCACCCCTGGAAGTCCTGATTCAGCAGGCCTGTGAGGACCCACACACTCACAGTTGTAACCAGTTCGGGGGAGACATGATGCTCCCTGTCCAGAATGGCACTTCGAGAGCCTCAAGGGTTGCTGGTCTCCTGGGTTTCATCCTGAAATAGCAAGGCTGGCTGGCAGCAGTATTTTGAGGTTGTCTGAGAACAAACAGGAGCTCGGCTTTGAGGCCAAGTCTGGCTGAGCCAAGTCTGGCTGAGCCTCTAGGCTTTATTGAGGATCTATTTATTGCTGGAGCTGGGGGTGGAGCTGACCTGAAGCTCAGGCCCAGCCACTTGCAAGTACAAAGGTGGCCTGGCTCCCCACTGTAGGCACCCATGTGTCCCAGCGTGGCTGCTTTCTCTAGCTGCAGGAGCCCACCTGACTCCAAGATAGCGGCCAGGGCCTGGAAGTCCCCATGGGACCCAGTCTTGGTGCCCACGTGGTGATCAGCTTGGAAACGTGCCTTCTTGAGATGCCTCAGCTCCCTGGTGTCCTCCTCCCTTGGTTTTTTTCTGATAAGATCATGAATAGCTGGGCCTTGTGGCACATGCTTGTGGTGCCAGCACTCAGGAGGCTGAGGCAGGAGGATTGCTGTGAGTACGAGGCCAGCCTAAACTACATAGGGAGACTCTGTCTCAAAAAACAAAAAACAAAGATCATGATTAGAAGGGGAAAGACAGGGCAGGAGATGTAGCTCAGCAGCACAGCACCTGCCTGGCATGTGTGAGCCCCTGAGTTCAATCCCTGACACCAAGAAAAAGAAGGGGAAAGACATAAATTGGCATAGTAGACTTGGATTTTCTGACTTGCTGGTGAGTGGGTGGTCTCGGGGTAGAGGGCCACAGTATGCCTTTTGCAGACCATCAAGGTGACCCTGGGGAAATCACCAGCTGCTGTGGTTAGGGGAGGCCTGGTGACTTTTGCTTGTACCTTTGCTTCATTGCCCTGCAGTGGACCTTGGTCCCTCCCTGCACACCACTCGTCTTTGCCATGGGCCCCCCTGGACTCCCCTGACAGACACAAAGTCCAAACACAATGTGCCTGCTGAGGGGACTCCCTCCAGTCCAGCTCCCGCAAGCCAGGTGCCCTGGTTCAGGCCCTGGGACTGCCATCGTGTGGGGCCAGCTGCACTGGTCCGTACCGTCCCAGATTACTGAGGGGACAGGTTACTCAGGAGTTCTTCTCTCTCCACCTTTCAACCTGGCTTCAGGGACAAGGAAACCTACTGTCCCTAAGCACTGTGTTAGGGACACTATAGACTTTGTCAGCCTTTTTTAAAAATTTTTTTAAATTTTCTAATTTGGTACCAGGAATCGAACTCAGGACCTTGTGCTTGCCAAGAAGGTGCTTGTGCCACTGAGCTATATCCCTGGCCCAACCTTGTCAGCCTTGCTCAGGACTCAAGAGTAATTGGCTACCAGCCACCATGAGCTTTGCCATAGACCAAGGGTCATATGTGTGTGAGACACTTCATTCAGAGCTCAGAGAAGAAAAGAAGCTCAGCGTGTGCTCAAGACACCAAGGTCCGACACCCACCTCGAATTTCACACTCTCAAGGCCAAGAACCTGCTTTGGACCTGCTAATTTCATCTCCTGAATTTATTTGGAGGAAGTAATCCAAAATATGGAAAGAATGAATCTAAAACATGGGAGAATATAAATATAAATCTCTATATATGTACAAACCTAAAATAGGACAAGAAATATATGTACTAAGCTGTTACTGCCAGCATTATTTAGAATTGTGGGAAACTGGAAATAATTTAAATGTCTATTAGAGGAATGAAACAATAAACTGCAGAAAACTCCCTGGTTGGGATATGAGGAGTCAGTAATATAATGTTATAAAGACAATGGGGTAAGAGAAGAATGTGAGGTATAAATTTAAAAAGCAGAGAATACAAACAATTACAATTGTGGGAACACTTGCCTATTAAAAGCGCTAACATCATTGTTGATCAGGGAAATGAAAATTCATGCTCACCAGAGTGGCTAATATGAAAAAGAGCAACAACACTCAGTGCTGATGAGGATGTGGGGCAACTGGAACCCTCACACAATGGGAAATGGCACAGGCACTCTGGAAAATTGTCTGGAGGGTTCCTACAAAGTCAAACATTGAGATCTACCCCGTGATAGGTAATTCTATTCCTGGGTGTTTATCCAGAGAAGTCAAAACATATCCCTAAGAAAGACTGGTATAAGAACACTCCCAGCTGCTTTATTCATTGTAGCCTTAAACCTGAGGAGTAAGCTCAGTGCCTGCCTGAGGTGGGGGTTGGGAGTGCTTAAGGGTACACAGTAACTCTGTGAGTTGAAGGAATATTCTAGATCTTTCTCCAGTGGTTACTAAGGTATGTACATTTGTCAAAACTCATACACTAATCCCCTTAAAACACAGGAATTTTGTACATTGTAACTTAATTTTATACATAATTTAGCTGGATGTGGTGGCTACATTGTAATTTAGCTGGGTGTGGTGGCTTACACCTATAATCCCAGTACTCGGGAGGCTGAGGCAGGAGGATCAATGTGAGTTTGAGGCCAGCCTGGGGTACATAGTGAGTTCAAAGGTAGCCCAAACTACATAGTGAGACTTTGCCTCAGAAAACAAAAAATAAACAATGTAACTCACCATCTCAATAAAGGTGAAGATATACGTCTATACATATGTGTATGTGTCTCTGCAGGGTGTGTATATGATATATAATACACTCAACGTTGCTTGTCAAGGGAGAAAAATAGAAGGAAATATCCTAAAATGTGGGAGGGCTTTGTGTTTCATGGATGAGATTATAGATTTTTTTCTTCTATGATTCTATTTGGATAAAGTATGGAATGACAAATGCTCGTTCGGTAAAATTTACAGACTGCTGGAGACACATGCTCAGGGTGGGCACCGTCTGAGGTTTCTGGTGCCGGTCTGGGGGATCCCAAGGGATTCTCTGCAGATCCGCCAGGCTAAGTCCGCAGGCCAAGCTGAGACCTCACAGGCCTCCCGGAGTCACTTGTGCTGTCCTCGACACAACCCCGTGTTGTCTTATTTCTGTCAGCCAGCATCTTCGCAGACATTGCTTTTTCTGAAACACAGCATGTGCTCATCAAGGGCCAGGATAATATCTTTAATTTCTTTTATTTCTTTCCCCCTCCCTCCCTTCCTGTAGTGCTGGGGGTGGAACCGAAGACCTCCATATTCTCTGCTCAGGGTGGAGCTTGCCAGTGGGCCTCTGAGGATATAGGATAAATCTTTATATTCCTAACAGCCCCATGTCGAGAAAATAAATCTGAGCTAGCACAAGGCCACCATGTACAGTGGCCCAGGCTGTTCACTGCCCAAACCTCAAGCAACAACACAAATAGTTTCCCTTCTGTGTGCATGTGCACTTTGGAGTTGTGCAAGTAGAGTCCTTGGTCAGGATCCCCGCACCGCCACTTCGTAGTTTTGTGACCTGCAGGAAGTTATCCTGAGACTGGTTCCTTATCTATATAATAGGATCATTAGAGGACTGAGTTGAGATACCGTGTGTTCAAAGCCCTCTGCCATGGTCAAAGAGGTGCTTAGGTAATGAATCTTCCTCTCCACCTCTTCTTCTCTGACCTCCTTTGCTCAGTGCACTTTATCACTACTTCTTCACAGCCTCACCCAGTTCCCCGCAATTGTCAATTATGTCCCCACCTCAGGGTCTTTATATATGCTCTGCCTGGGAGACTTCTGCTGCTTCCTTGCCCTGCAGCTGGGCCTGCTGTTACCTGAGGCTTTACCTAAGCATCACTTCCTATCACATTGCTCCGTCTCATTAGTACAGTAGTCCTTCCTTTTTGGGGAACACTCCTG